TGAAGGGAAATTTTGGTAGCTAAAAATAAAAATAACTGAAGTTTAATGTCGTCTCTACTGAAAAATAATACACTCATACCCCGGTATCCAAACCTAATTTGTTCCTGAAAATCTGTTTTGAAAGCGGGAGATCCTAAATCAAAAATAAAAATTCAATTACTTCTTATGGGGAAATTCTACTGTTTCAAACCGAAAACAAGTTCACTCAAAAACCACCGTAAACATATAATACCATACAGACCATTATAGCAAGCTTAGTGAACAACGCAGTTCTACTCAAATAAGCCAACTGTAGCTGTAAAATAATTAATTATATCATATTTACATTTTTCATTCTTTTGTAATAGATTGCTATCCAAGCGATCAGCTAGAATGACGTGCATACTGTTGTTGACTATGATGCTACATAATCTTATTGTCTCTTCTTTAGAGCCCATAATGAAAAGCAACTATGAAACAAACACAAAACTACAAAAACAAACTAACTACAAAAAAACACTTTGAAAATGAGAGTACAAGCTTTTGCTGTGATCATAAACAAAGGACTGCTGCCTCATGGTGTCTTTAACCATAATGCCTTGTGCCTGCACAGAAACAAACAGTTATTCAGTGGCACTGAATTTAAATATTTGTGGAACGTTCTCAGCCAAAGTCAGTCACTTTCGAATTTCAAAGTTCGGATTAGTGAAATTTCGTTCTTATAACAAATTACAAGGTACAAAATCTTCGTGTTCGGATTAGCTAAGATTCGTATACCGAACATTCTTATATGTGTAAACTATGTCTACTATATTTTTATAATCAAAATCCTAAACAAACAAAATCATTCTCTAAAAATTAAATCTAATTAATATGTATACTATATTTTATAGTTTTATTAATTTTATATATCACAGTATGTTAAATATTCACTTTACATTTACAATCTCTTAAGCCTGTAGCAGTAGTGGGGACATAGATATTAAACTAAGGAAGGGATACGGTAACTTCAGCCCCCACCTCACACCCCCAGGACAGACAGAAAACAAATCTGAGACATTAACTATCCAGTCATTGCAAAGGGTGCAGAGTCGCAGAGATGAGCATATTAGCAAGGTAATGTGTGGCTATGAACTGCAGCACTCATGAGTTCTGAAAAAAAACTTTTTAAAATTATAACTGTAACAAATTACATAATGTTTCAATCATGACATTTCCAAAACATTCATCTTCTTAATTTATTAAGTATTCACACTCACATTAAAATATTTTTCTTAATTTAGTTTTAAAACAAAATTGTGTGGCTGGCAATGTATTCAATTTAAAGATCAAATAGCGGCATCACAATTATAAAACAGCATATCAAATTTAATAACAAAGCAACATCACAGCAACATCACAGAACGATGCATACCCCGAAAAATAAGACACTACTGTATATCTTCTGAGCGAAATATGGAAGTTGTCACTGTTTGTACTGTTTATAGTGCAGGGGAACACTTCATGTGAAGGAGGGGCAGATTTGCAGGTGTAACTATTCCTGGGGTGCTTTCTGTGTAGAGTCTGCATGTTCTCTATGTGTTCACATGGCTTTCCTCCCATAGTCCAAAAACATTCTATATCCTACTGGGTGCTGTCCTAGTTTGCGCCAGTTTCTTGCCACAACTCTGTACTGGATAAAACGGTTGGCAAAATAATTGTCTGGTGATTTTATAATTGTAAAAACGTTCCATTTAAAATACAATAAGGAAGATATTATCTTCAAAATGTATTTACTTAACTCCTACATATTTTTTTTAATATTACTGAAGTGTGTTTCTAATGTTGTTTTACAGATTTGTTATTAAGTGAATTTAGAGGAAAGAATACACTTTAACTATTCCTATGTCCATTTTAATACAACTCTTATATCGGTACTACTAAAGCCAGATAAAAACCCACATTGTGCTCTATCTACCTTCCTCTTTTCTCATTAATATCAATATTAAAATTATAAGCAAGGCATAGCAAACAGAACAAGTCATCCCATCACTTACATATCCAGGTCAAACTAGATTGAAGTCAGAATATACTATCAATAACAAGAGTTGCCTAATTAATAAATATTTCATAACAAAACAAAATAAAGATGATATTTTTATAACTAGATGCAGAAAAGGTCTTTGACAGAGTAAACTGAAAACTTTTATTTGCTAATCTAGACAATTTGGTTTTGGAGTATAATTTGTCCAGTGGATTAACATTACTTCACAACTTTACAAATCACCCATGGCAACTGTTTTCACCAATGACCTCACCTCACAAAGCTTTAGTTTGCACAGAAAGAATGTCCACTCTCTTGCTCTTTTTAATATTCACAGAAACATTTATAGCAGCAATTCATCCAAATAACAAAATACAGTATACAAATCCAATATATTCCATAAAATCAGTTTGTGCGAAGATCACATACTACTTTATCTACAAAATCCATCCAATTCACTTCCTGAAACAATCAGACTAATCAACATATTTTCAGAGATAGCTGACAACTCAATATACTGGACAAAAATTATTATATTACCTCTACCAAGTTGGAATACTGCAATTCTCAAACTGCCTGTGTCCATCACCTCAGGCAACCTCAAATACCTTGGAATCAATATCTCTCCCAACCTGTCAGAATTGCTTCATTTTAACTTCGACTCACTCTTGAAAAACATTGAAGACAATCTTAATCATTAGATGAACCTTCCATGAACTATTATTGGATGAATAGCATTAAATTAAAAGATAACCTAAAGTTAACTACTTATTCAAAAAGATTCCAATTAATACTAAAAATAACTGGCTCAGATATCTGAAATCTAATCAAAATTAAGACTCTCTCATCACTAAATTTTACTGGAATAACATAAAACCTTAAATTGGCAGCATTACACAGAGAAAATACCTTCAATACTAAATATGTTGGATCCACTCAAACCAACAATATAATCCCTGTATTAAGAATGAACAAGTAGAAATCAGTGGAGAAATAATGATTAATGATTTACCCTTTCTCAGCAAATTCATAAGGCATCACACTCTTTTTAAAAACTGTAATTTCTATGATTCTTCAGGCGTGGTGGAAAATAAATTAAATCAATAATTTTACAATTACAACTTGTAAATACACAACAGTTTAGCTCAATTTTGCTTGTATGTATCTCTGTTAAAAATAATATTCAATAATAATAAAAAAATATTAAAAATCCTCAAACATATTTCTCTAAAGAATCATTTTTCATTTAAATTTAGTAAATAAAGTAGGATTCTAGATCACATGGAAATGCAGTACCAGTATACTTTTGTCTACTGTATAAGTAGAAGGCTGTGGATCAGGGGCCTACAAAAAACTGGATTCTTCAATTTGCTGCAATAGACTGAGACTGGTTAGAAAAAGGAATCAAGCAGTGAGATTTTGTAGGAAATACAAACATCATTTAAAAAGCTGTAACTATACTATAAAAGAAGGTGTGTTACTAAAAAAAACTGCAAACTTCAAGTTAATACTGTTCCAGTTTGAAAGAAGGCCAAAAACAATGTTTGGGTCAGTTCAGATCATTATATCTTCAGAGAATAGAAATAGAGATGATTGTTTACCCCTTTGTTGCTTTATTTCCAACAATCTGCTCAATCAAGTCTTACATGAGGTTTCATTAATGAGGATAATAAGCACAAACTAATTTACCATACACAAACAAAAAATACACAAACTTTTACCATTTTTGAGTACTATATATTAAAAGGTAAGATTTTAACTACTTTACATAAAAAGAAACAAACCATTGACATTTATATACTGTATATGCAATACAAATAACATAATAAGGGCTGTGCATCATAACTGTATGTAAGCTATTCCTATTTATCTTCTATCACAATATGTTAAATCCCTGAGATGATGAAATTTTAACCATCCTCTGCATCCTCTAATGTCCTCTACAACTTTTGACATTATTCCTTTTAGACCTGTTCAATGTTGTGATGACTATGAATATATCAGAATGTTAAACAAGACCACATTTTGAACCAAGGCTGAAAATGACAAGAAATCATAATTTCTTATTTGTTCAAGCATATTCACATTACGACTTCGAACACATGGACTATACAAGCCCAATATAAAATGGATAATGACTTATAGTTCCAGTAGAAAATGTGAAATATTTCACTTGTCAAAGATGCAAACAGCTATGCATTTTTAAAACAAATGAAATGATTGAATAATGCAAAGCATCATAACCTTGTAGCATGATTTTATTACCTTTTTGCAAATTCATACGTCTCAAAATACAATTTCAGAAGACAATAAAATCAAAAATGCCTTCCTAGCAGTTACCTTGTCAATAAGATGAAAGAAAAACAGTTTAATGTTATCAGCCTTTCCATATGGAGATATATTTGGACTTTTAGTAATCCTGAACCCATGATTGCCTTGGTTGTATTAAGAGCTTTCAACTCCATCATTCGTGCACTTTCACATAAAACAAATTAGATAAATTAATGGTCTCTATTCTCTGTTGCCCCGGAGTCAATAAATTTACTCTTCTTAAAAATAATCATTTAAATGGCCCATCAGGCTAGCAGTAAAATCTTCTAATGGTTTTTCCTGCTTCTGCTAAGTTTATTGCATTTGAAAAGCCACTCCAGTCAAAAACCCATGATTCATTATTAGAGACTGGGTCTGAGGCATCTAATGAGCTGACAATACGCTTTAACATATTTGTTTTGAACAATATTAACCTTAAAGTCAGAAGGTTATGGCTTTCACCATTCAGTCTACAGCAAGGGAATTCATGTATGTGTATATGCAGACCTTTGAGTAGGAACTTTGAATTTGGGGGGGGCACAGGTTCAAAGGAAAAGGAGCACATGTTGAATATAAATTTAGGAGTACAAAAAATGTCACCATGACACTTACGTTCCTCTCAATTATTTCTTGCACGATTTTATTTAGAAGAAACCTGTAAGCAAATCAAAAAGACTAAATCTCCTACCTCCCTGCAGCGTGTACTCTGTCACAGGAAGACTGAAGACTCCCAGGCCTGCTCCAGTATAAGCAGCCACCTGGATTTCATACTGCGTCCAGATGATGAGGTCCCTAATCAGGCAGTAGTTAATCTCAGGGCTGGTGATGTTCTTCTGCTGGTACTCACCAGGAAGGCCAGCAAGGCGATACCTAAAATCATGGAAATGAATCATGAGACAACAGCTGGCAATATCACTCCACTACTGATTAATTGCAATCCACTTCCATGAAAGCAATTAAGACTGAAAGTCTTTGGGCCAACTTTATGGCATACAACACAAGTCATGTAATCCAATTTGGAGATCCTGCTGTTTGAATGTTTGAATTTTAATAACCACAAAATGGAATTAAGTACCAATAATAAGGTCTATACTGAGAGATGCAGAAACACAATTACTGTAAAAATTAGGATTAAATTATTAAGTAATACTCAAAACAAAACGCAAACACTGTGTTTTTGTTTTACAAAACCAGACCTTGAACTTGTGAATCTCACTTTTTAGAATGGAAGTTTTAGAAAAACCTATAAACAGATATACAGAATATACATTACAATTCCCAACATTTAATGTCAAAACCTATAAACAGATATACAGAATATACATTACAATTCCCAACATTTAATGTCAAAACCTATAAACAGATATACAGAATATACATTACAATTCCCAACATTTAATGTCAAAACCTATAAACAGATATACAGAATATACATTACAATTCCCAACATTTAATGTCAGAGAAATTAATTCTTAATTTTCTGGTAAGTACCCAGCTAATTTAAAATCCACACAAGCATTGAGCAAAACAGTGTTACTTTTAACGAGCAACAGCAGAAGTCAAAGAGATGACTAATTCTGGAGCTTTTGCCAAAGGTACAGTTTGTTATTCAAAGAAATCTCTTTATGAATACTGTTAAAATATTAATTTAATCCAGAGTGTTACAGACATCTCTAATGGAATTATAAGAATTACTTAGGTATGTGTATATGGAAATTTTAAATGTTTCTTTTTAATTTTCTTCAAAGCTTTAATGACAAAGCAGCACTTTCCTGTTTTCACAGGCTTCAGAATCCTGTCACCTCAATTTACTACACTTTTGTAAGGGTGACAGGAGAGATTATGACCCCTAAAATAACAGGTGAAAATTTGACCATTTGATGACTAATAGATGCAATTCCCCTGAAAACATCTCTGAGCTTCTACAAATGGACCACCATGTGTATTGAAGAAAATATGAGAAAAACATATTTCAGCTCCAAAGTCCAAAGACCCCACATCCCACCCACAACCCCCCCCCCAAAAAAAAATATAACAAACTTGCAAAATAACATTCAGACCATATTACACATCTGACAAGTTAGTACCTAAGTGACTCTAAACATTTTGATTAGTAATTTCTTAAAAGTACCCAGAATTTGGTCCTCAACTGGGAAGCCAGCTCCACACATCCACAATCCTGTAAAAAAAGTTTCCTTTTCACTCTCTTAAATTATTTCCCTTTTAGTTTCCAATTGTAACCCCATGTCCATGTTTCAATAGTGAGGGTGTAACAGTTCCCTGGGATAACCCCATATATATCTCTTAGGATCTTATATACTTAAATTAAATATCCTCACAATCGCCTTTGTTCTAAACTACACAGACGTAGTACCCTTACTCTGTATATGTATACCAGTAACTTATGATTTCTAAGGCTATAGTGACCAAACCTGATACTACAATTTCCTAAGTGGGATTTTACTAGTGCTTACTATTGTATTGTGTGTATAGTAAAGGTTTAGCAGAACACCCATGTATTTAAATTCCTTTCTATAAACCCAAGCCTTCTGTTAACTTTTGTAATTGCTTCCCCACATTGCCTCATTGAGGACACTGAAGAATTGAAACACCCAGATCACTTTTGTGATCCAGAATCATCCATGTTATATGTGTAGTTTACGTTCCTAAAGTTTAATCAGTGGGGATCTCTTTGACCTGACTGATGTTAAATATAATTTTTCCAAGTCATTGTTTAATTCTCTTGGCTTTTTTAATTCTTCTCTGCTGTAGACACTGAAAAAAACACCTTATGGACTTTTTTTGAAATCATTAAGCTCGGAGACATTAAACTCATTTGCTATATTAATACAAAGAGCTGAGAGAAGATTAAAACATCATAAAGCATCAAACATTACTTTGAGGTCTCAAAAATGCTTGGATTAAAGCTTCAATCACTTCAGGTTTACCGTCAAACATTTGAACATGTAAGCTTGGAAGCACATTGATTGGTTTGTTTTTCTAACTCCTTACATTATTCATATATATGTAAATACATATTAAAACCAAATTGTTGTAGTGATGCCTTAGGAAAAGGCAGGTTAATTACTATGCTGAAAAGTAAAACAAACATCATTTCAGCTGTAGTGCCTTGTTCAGCTGTAGTGGCTTGTTCAGTTGTGCAGGGTAATAAGGGAGAGCAGGAATAGGAGGAAATGGACGGGAGACCACCAGTCTGCAAGAATGACACAGGAGGTTCCAATTTAGCTTCCCTATTGTGTCTATGGACTTTCAAGACACAGCCTTGCAGTCTGCTCAGTGTCACTTTAGATAAGAAAAGCTGAGTCCACTACTTGCTAATGTTTTTTTATCCTTCTTTCTGGCAGTGTGAGGAAAAGTGGACTGTGCAAGCAGGCATTGTGTCATCTTACTTTTAATATGTCATTCCTTAGAAGTAAAAGGGCAATATTTCTTTGTTCTGAGTACTTTTGGCTGTAGGTTTAGATCTGTTGTTTTAAGGGAATGAAAAGGAGGAAGACTACAGAAAACAGGGTTTATACGTCACTTTAACTTCATAGTTAGCCTTAAAATAAAGCCCTCTTGAATATTACAATAACAAGACTTTTGGCAGAACTGCAAACTGGGTATGAACTTCATCACGTATTTGATCACACTGTTTTAGGCCACAGACCAACTCCTAAGAAAACTTCTGATGGTACTCACTAAGACATGCTACCACACACTTTAGTGATAAGGATACATGTTTGTAGTAAAATGGGTTTAACTTAAAATCTTGTTTTAATGATGAGTTAATGGAGTAATTTTGGAGTTTTATAACAGTCTTTGGTTAATTTGGAATTTTACACAAAGTTTAAATGTAATGTGTTTTTTTTTAATCTGGGCAAAGTATGAAGAGGACATTAAAGTCATAGTCACCATCTCTACTTATAGATACTGATTTTTAAAGTTAACAAATATGCTATGTAATGAAAATGAACACAAAGGAGATGAGTACATATTTACTTAGCCTAAAAAAAGAAAGTATTAAAAAATAATACACTGTATACTACAGTTTACACATTTATAATAATCTTTTTGTTTACATGTTCAATAATTTATTTAGCTTCTTGTCTTGAAACTAAACACACTGTATATTACAGGGATAAGCACAGACTTTCTTTTCCCAAATGTTTTGGAACACCTCTCCTTGCATCCCCTGAAAAATAAGCAGCAACATATGTGACAAAGCAAGAGTAAATATAATCTGAAACACAGAAGAAGGTCATATTACTAACACTACTAATAACAATTTATTATAGATAATAATATTAATGTTTAATGACCATGGAGAGACATGACCTCACATCATTCAAAGGACTACACCTTTTTACAGTGGGTCCCCGTCACTATACTGTGGCATGAGGACCCACACAAGACTGCAGGGTGAGCTCCCCCTACTGGCCCCACTAACACCTCTTTCAGCAGCAACCTTTGTTTTCCCAGGAGCTCTCCTATCCGGGTACTGACCAGGCTCACACCTGCTTACCTTCAGTGGGTTGCCAGTTGTGAGCTGCAGGGTAAAATAGCTGTTAATGTAACCTGAGATGTGACCCGAAACACTCCCGACAAAGCTCTTATCACTCTGGGTCAGTGTAGCCCACCTGAGAACGTATCCTCTCAGCACTCCGTTCAGCTCTGGCTCTGGGGGAGGCTGCCACTGGACCATGATGGACTGGTTGGTACGCCCGCTGGCAACAATGTTCTTCGGGGGAGCACTTGGGGGTTCCTCACGAAGCATCAGTCTTCAAAGAGAACCCATTAAGGACATCATATTTCATTCAGCACATTAAACAATCCAGGCATTATTTTAGAGCACAAAATGACATTTCCACCATCTGTTTGCTCTTCATCAGACACTAACCACCAGTTCTGCTACTCTATGGACACATAACAGAAAAATGCCCATGACTGAAAGTATCCATCATCTTGTTGGCTTGTCAAAGACAACAATTTAAACACTCCTGAAGGACTAAATTTGAGGTACTACTCCAGCATTAACACTTTTCCATAATACCTTAAATTAAGATCTCGTAGTTGTGTGTTTTCAAAGACAAAATAAAGATATTTGGAAACAGCCGGCAGCTGTTTTGTTTATCAATAAAAATGCAGATATGCCGATTGCAAAATAGTGCCAATGCACTTATAATTCAGGAAACAAACTCAAGAGGGAAATGAAAAACTAAACAAAACCCGGTCATTAATGAAAAATCAGAGTGGCATGTTTGAAGTTGATAAGTAGCTGAATGAGCCAGCTTCTTTAGATCCCAAATTCTGTGCCTGAGGTATCTAGACTGTCTCAGTGCCAGCTGTCAAAGTAAGTGGTTATTAGGCTGTATATCTAATATGCAAAGTAACCCTGAATTTATTTCTGCTTAACAGTCACTGGATTGATTATCAGCTATATAAATGACTTCCTTTTTGATCTCCTTTGCCACATTTACTTCAATTATGATGTGCTGCTTGTTACTCGGATAGTGCATGATCTCCCATAACACTTTAGACTCATAGCCTAAAAAACTGCCCACGATGTCCTCAAACACAAATCTTGTTTATTTCTTTTTGATGCTATTCTTATATCAGCGGAGAATTTGAAATTATCTAATACTCTAATTAGACTAGTTATTACATGCAATGAGTTATACGCATCAAAAAGAAATGCTTAAGATTCATTGTACGATTTGGTTGTACAGTGACTTTCAAAAGAAGACAAGTATCTTATTTACACCATACAAGGGAATGAACAGAATACAATTACAAAATACAAATCAATGGGCAGATTTGGGAGAAATGTGTTTTAACATGTTTCTAATAGGTTTTCCCTGACCTGAAATGAACTGGATCACTGATATCACTCAAAAGACTTCATAATAATATAGCATAATAATCCAATATTATCAAGGCGTCTTACAAAAGCACAATGTACAATACATATTAATTAAGAATTAATCTGATGTTTTGGCTATTATGTCTATTCCATTCAATAGCCATTGAATGTCAAACACTGACAATGATGCTGTAGATACACAGTCTTGCAAACTATGCACTAGTAGACTTAATTATTTTAACGACTGTACTAAAGTCTTAAGCAATGATCACTGTAAATAATATAAATTATATTTAATAAATTATACCTATAGAGTACATATAGAAATACACTATATATAAATATCTATATTTAATTATATACCTGTATACTGTTATAAGAACATAACTGTAAAGTAAATTTTCAAGGACAGTAGTATTGAAGATTCACACATTGCTTATTAAGTCTTTTCCTTTGTACTATAGAAATGCATTCTTTTATAGTCCATGTACTGAACATTGGAGCATTATTAAATCTGAATTAGCAAGTATTCCTGAATTCACTTATCTTGAGAATTCAAAGTTTAATGAGGAATCCTTGGGTTCTTTTAGATTTATAGTTGGTGTCTTCTTAAATCTGGCTTCATTTATTATTCTTTGCTGGAAGTGCTTTTCTTAATTAACACTTTCAATTTCAAACAATAGCAAGCATTACTCCCATATTACTTTGTAAATCTGTCCTGTCTGAACCATATGGAAAACAATCTCCAGCTTGAATGCAGCTGTGCTCTTTGTTGATAGCATTTGCACTATAAAATACATACTAATTAATGTATTCACATTTTATACATCTGATGTGTAACATCTTGCTCTTAAAATAAGATATTTTTATGAGAATGTCACAAATCTTACAGTACAACATAATTCTGATGACAGGGTACAGAAGTCTACATTTCAGTAGTAATGTTCTGCCAGCCATATGAAAATGCTCTCTACAGTGTTACTATGAATAAAAAGTAATATGTACTGTACCTCTATAGACTATGCTCCATATCTTTGTATTCTTTCTTTTGCGTGTGCTATTAAGCCAAAAAATACAAGTACATTTGTATGAAAAATATTAACTTTTTAGTTCCATTCTTTTTGAACATCTTTCCCTGAATAAAGAACTGCAGCTTCTTACACAGACAGCATGTAGCAGAAAAGAATAGCTGTGAGGCATGTCTCTCTGACAAGTCTCTAATAGTCTGCATTGCTTTCAGTCACCAGGAAAAAAGCATTCCTATAAGTACAGCTATATAAAGTAAACACCATGGTTCTTATCAGTTTTATATAATTTTATTACACAAATTCTCTCTATATGCTGTTTATGTCTATTTTCTTCAGCAGTTTCAGGTGTAGCATGTGAGATTTAACTCCATCACTTCTTTAAAGCATTCATTGCAGGGGAAATCAATTAGAAAAAATGAGAAGACCTATTATTTGAATTAAGGTGCTGTAATTAGAATCTAGTTTTAGTTTAAAATATTAGAGACAATGTGTCCAGAAAAGATTTATTATGCATATTCACATTTTAAATTCAAAACATGTCATAATAAATTAATTTCAACTGTGTATAAAATTAAATAATTAAAATGAGTAGAAGTAAGCAGACATTTAGGCAAATGCACAATTGCAACAGCATATGGCTTAGTTACTAGATAATAGCACATACATGAGTATTTTAAATAAAAATATGTACTTCTTGTTGATTATGATCTTTTTCTTAGCGTACCACACATATTATTATTTGTTGGTAGAGTACCACATGAATTTTGTTTCATTTTCATTTCATGCTTCAAAATATTTTGCAGTTATCAGCATTGATATATTTCTAGATGAATCAACATGGTTAATATCTGCACTCCAATGAAATCTCAAATAAAAGCAGGCCTGGAACAATGAGATAAAATAAAAAAGCTAATACTTCTTCCCACATGGAATGTCCAGTTGAATGTCTGCAAGCCAGAACTGACAACAGTGAAAGTGAAAGTTCATTTATGAGTGTTGTGGCATTATGAGAAAAATCAACCTCAGGAAACTTTCCCACACAAGATGGGCAAAACTTACTTTATTAAATGTCTACATGTAAAACTGGGAGAGACATCCCGTCTATTGATGAATTCAAATGTGATAGCCAATGGCCATGGGATCTTCTAATTTTGTTTCCATATGTTTTCTTGTCTACTTAAATTAAATAAATACAAATCACTCTATCCATCTATCCATTTTCTAACTGCAATATCAGGCAACAAAGGGTGCTGTCACAATCATAATCCCTCCTCTAAAGGGTGCTCTGGCCCTTTTGTATTTTAGTTGATTTCATGCACCTGTCCCGTTTTGTCCGTCATAGCACTCCTGCAATGCCGGGTTCTGCATTAGAAGACGGATGCCCGGAGGCCTGCCTAGCATCAAGTCGCCCTACGTCCGCAGCTTGAGGGCTTATTCTTCCGATCGGTGTCCAGACCTGCCGAGTCCTGGGCTCGGAGTGCCTGGCTTCGTTACTGTTTTTATCCTTCTGGTTCCCTGTCCCTGTTCCTGTTCCGGATCCAGTTCCGGTTTTAATCTTGTCAGTCTCGGATTGGATCTCCTGGTTACCCGGACTTTGGATTGCGCCCTGTTTTTCTCTTTTGGATTCCCACTGGACTTGTTCGCCTGCGCTACGCCCCCAGAGCACCAGATCGCAGCCGTCACGCCACCCTGTCTGTCTTCCAGTCCCACTCCTGCTGTGTTTCCCTAGAAGTCTTTTTCCAGTCACTGCCGGATTATAACATCTGCACAGGGTCCTAAACTATGCACTGTGACAGGTGCAAAGTAAGATACACCCTGGATGGTACACCAGCCCATCACAGGGCACACACCGACACAAACATGCACACACTCAAACCTAGGGAGATTTTCTCAGAAGCAGATTAATTTACCTGAATGTCTTTTGGGAGGAAATTTATGTGAAAAAAGGGAGAATATGCAAACTCCACAGAGATAGCACCCCTGGAATCGAACGCAGGGTACCAGAGCTGCATAGCAGCAATGCTAACCATTGCGCTATTGTGCTGCCCTACAAATCATTCATTGATACTTAAACCCTTCACTAGCTTTTCAGTAACTGATTATTTGGAGCGACACAAATGTAAGGAAACTAGTTATATATACTGTGGGATTTAGGCACTGGAGGACCTCATACATTCCTGATGGATTGGCATATTCAGTTTCATCTGATAACAAGGCAGACAATCTCCAACTCTAGGAAAAAATATCTATTAACAGGCCTAAATAGAATCAGAGCTCTAGCTGGGTTCTTTACAACTTAGACAACCTAATTTAAAGTCCCTTTACTGGATGGTTACAGGTGTATCCAGAATTTTAAAATGCATTTGTTTATTTATTACATATATATTTGCCTGAGATTTAATTCAAAGATAAAAAAAAATCTTTAAAATAAAATGTATACAAAAAATTATACAAATAAAATTTAAAAAAATAATTTCTACCGATAAAAGAATGAACATATTTTATCAGGATGGTAAAAATTGTTTCATTTCAAAGTTAAATATTTTCACCTGTCAAAACATTTAAACAGACAGTTCAGACATACTCCAGAAGATCTCTTGCTTGGTTTCTTGAAGTGGAATTAAGAGCTTTTCACAGTGAGCAGCTTGCTGACAGGCTTAGTAAATTTAAAAAAGATACAGCTTGCTTTTTCATATACAGAAACAAATAATGGTAAAGTAAAACTTTTAAACAAATAATGTTTTTTTAATAAGTTCATAATCAAGTTCATTGTCTAATACAATATTAATTGGGGGCATGAAGCTAAGCAGCTAGGTGTTCAAATTTTAATAACTTCATCAATGTTTGATTTTTCAGCTGACAAGATTAAATGGGGTGCTATGATTAAGTAGCACTGATTACTTGGTAAGTAATATATACTCATGCGATATGATGACAAACTTGTTTTGTAAAGCTGTTATTCAGAGGAATTTAATGGTTGAGGTAGCCTTATTATAATAAACATGTGAGAATAACAGAGTCATTAAGACCATCCGAGAAACATTAAAAAATACTGCATTTTTTCCAAGACAGTATTTATTTCAAATTCTATTGTCAAATTAATCTCGTTGTTCCATCATTTTCAAATACATGTTAATTCCCTTTCAAATGAAGAAAAAAGAAAAATCACTGCCTGACATTTCTTTGTGTTTTTTCTGTGATTTTATTTGCTAGATTAATGAAATATGAAATAAAAATCAATGTTTTAATTATTCCATTATGCTGAATCAGTGTTATAAATTAAGTCTGTACCCCTTCTAAGATGTGTTGTGGTTTTGGCAAAGACAAGAAATGGGAAATTTAGGAAGCTCTGTTCAATAAAGTCTGATGAATATAAATTGCTCAATATGGAGTAAATGGATGCCACATGCCTTTGGAACAAAAAATAATGCCACTATTTTCCTGTGCAAAACAACTACAATTTAGTATGTCTTGCTGAAGGAACTGTGGTTATTTCCACAGCATAAATGCTGTGCCAGATTACACTCTGTACATTAACTGTAGTGGCACTGTTCTAACTCAGTGACAACTATAAAGGAACAAATGCTTTACTTATCTATAAACAAAGATATCTACTTACAAAATTAATTGTTTAGTGTATAAATGAACAAAATACAACTCAAAATAGGAAAAATCACACAAATCAGACAAAGGTCTTTTCTTGACCCCCTTAATCATTAAGGCTGATGTTACAGTATTGTGCGATCTTACAGGAAATTGATTCAGCTTTTATTCAGCGATGAGCACTAGATTAAGTTACAAGTTATTTTCTGATCATAACTGAAATAGCTTTACCTTCATGGTAAGTTACAATGAGTTTTTTCTGCCCTAATTAACAAGGCAAAAACACAGCCATCTTGTGGATGAATGGTCTCATGCATGTTATATATTTAAAACTTTTGTAGTTTTTTCCTGCTAAATTACTTTAAAATCACATTATTTTATTTAACAAGTTTTGAAAAGGACAGCATGGTGGAGTGATAGTTCATACAGCTTTCTCGCAGCTGTAGGGCACAGGTTTGGATTTGGGGCTAGGCTGCCTTTATTTGCGGTGTTTCCCAGCTAGTCCTAGTTGTCAAAGACACTCTAGAACACTAAACAGGGAACACTAAATAGCTTCTCATGATGGATGGGACTTCTGCACCCTCTTTCAGACCAAAAACAGATTGTGACAGCAACAAAAATATTTTGCTTATTCTTTAATAGTGATCACAACTAAGAATAATAAAATAAGCTGTTCTATGCTTGACAAGGCAAAGGCAAAGAATACATACCTGTTAGTCTCTGTGCTGTACTGCCCCTTCCCAACCTGGTTAACTGCACACACTCTGAACTGGTAGGTTCGAGCTGGCGTTAACCCCTTCACCACTGCCCCTGTCATTGCGGGGGCTACTTTGGGTAAATAGACCTTCCATGGGGAGTCTACAATTCAAACAGAAAATAGTTTTGGACAGAAAAAAGAATAAGTAACATTTTTAGATATTTGTAAGCATTTTAAAAGCATGTTCACCTTTGTAGAATTGTTTAAACAATTTCAGAGGGAGGCATAAATTGACAGTAAATGTCTTTCACCCAAAAAAACGACAGTACCAACATGTGTCACAAGGAATTATGGGTTAAAGCTGAAACTGAACGATTCCAAGAAACAATTACAGAGAATGGAGTTTTAAATTTAAAATCTCAAGCATGCTATACAATATTTTGTAGAAAATATTTCAGATGCATTATCTATCCCTATGTCCAATAAAAAAACCTACATCCATCACTGTGCCTTTCAAATTGCATTCATATAGACTTTGCATTATTTTAAATTTGTAGCATGGCCTGAAACAGCTGTTGTTGCTCTGAGCTCTGTACAAAGGGTTAAGCAATATAATTTAACATCTTGAGATCTCCATCTGAAATTCAGTAGGCAATAATATATTTCATTATTTCATTGTATTTCATTCTCGGTTTTGTTTAAAAGATCGATGAGTCTTAACCTGTAGACAAACAGAACCTTAATTGAGCAAAGGTTGCAAGCCATCACTTCTTCACAGTTGTATTTTCTGATGTCCTTCTGAAAGGGGTGAATGATCCATCAATAAAAACTCTCCACTTTACAAATCTTCCAAAAAGTACGAGTATTGCGAAAAGGAAGTTTAAGAATTTGATGGGAATCAGATTTACAAGTAAACACCTGAGCTGATCCTAACGCTGAGCAATCCCAATGTTCAATCATATCTAAGATACAGTAGGTCCTGCGCTGACTCAGGATTGCCCTGTCTTCTAAGTACAACCTGACTTTTAGGCAGTTTTCTTATAAGAAGGGGATGTTAACAAGTAATACCTCCCACAGTTGATAAAAAACACCCTATCAAGCCAGAAAACAAAAACTGGATAGCCATCTGCATATTTGCCAAAATAACGCTTACGCCATGATGACACATGTGCCTTTTGTATCCACTGCTTGCTTCTTCACTGTCCTTTGTGATTTGTTATTTGGTTTTCTTGATAATGACAGATGCAGCGTGTGGTTTTTCTGATGCATGCTCCATTTTTGACTCATTTTTACCTTTTTACAGGGATCAAATTCTGCTTTTTGTAAACAATAGCTAGATGGTTGCTCTTCACTCCTCTGTTTCTGGAAAGAAGAGAATCTTTCATTTCAGGGTGGTGAATGTGATGATTGTTGGCACATTTTAATTAAAGAAGTATGCTTGAGCAGCTCAGATTGGAGCTGACTAAAGCCCCCTTCAGTAAATGCTGGAGCTAAAATGATGAAGATCACTGTTTGGACAGAAGCCAGTTTAAGTTAAGGTTCCACTGCAAATGGGGCATGAATTAAACATTTGTCATTGTGTTTTCTTATCTTTGCAAAAGTCCCAATCTCGGCACATTACAGGAACTTCACCCTCAGTTCTATCTTATTACCCTGCAGTCTCAAGACTTCATACACCTGATACAAGCAAATTAATGGTCTATAAATCAAATAAAATATCCACGCCATGCTCCTCAGAAACACAGGATTTGAGTACAGTATGTACCTGAACAACTCTGACTATTACCTGCCCTGCATCGTATGTTTACTATAGAACTCAAGATGGCAAGCATATTTTATTTCATTTGTTTTTGGTTTCACAGACCCCTGCCTCAATTAATTCAGAAATATATTAAGTGGTAGGTGGTATAGCGGAGCACTGGTTAGCATTTTTTCCTTGAAGTGAAATCTTGGGTGCTCTCTGTGTGGAGTTTGTACTGTATGTTTGCCCTATGTTTTATACCCATGCTAAAGTATTACATAAAATGAAATAAAAATATTGAAGATATAAATACAAATATATAAAATGTAGTTGCATACAAATTAGTCTACACTGTCGAAAGATGTACTTGCATGTTAATTGGTTTCTAGGAAAATTGACTCTATGACCCTATGAAAAATGTGTGCTCATGTCTGTGTCTGTGTGTGCCCTGTAATGGACTGGCATCCCATCCAGGGTGTGCCATTCCTTGCACCGATTGCTTGCCAGGATAGGCTTTTCCCATGCCCATGACCTTGAATTGAATGAAGCACTTAGAAAATGGATGGATAATTTGTCGAGTTTTTAATGCCATGTCAATCAAATGTATATGTTAATCAATTTCTCAGTTCAATGCAGGCTTTTACTGCACATACAGGAGTAGTGTTCAAAACATGAGCAAGAGAAAAATTGTTTTTGAAGACAAAGACAAGAAATAGTAGAAGACACTGGTCATCAATTACACTACATGGACTCTCATTCATGACTGTGTTGGGAGAACAACACCATTCAAAACTAACTTTATTAGTCAATAAGATATTGTGACCTTTTGCCTGAAAAGATATGGGCAACTAATGTAAAAACTCCTGGGAAATGTAATTTCGAGGGAATGTTTTTCAATCTTTAAGGCATTGGCGACAAAACTACTTTCCAGCTTTTTTGCAATGCAGTATATTAAAACACGCATCGTGCAGAGATCACCCTGTCTTTTTTAATTGGCACCATAAAGGGACTGCTGTGAATGGCATAAAACCAAATTCACTGAGACAATCAATTATCTAAATACATGTGGTGGGATTTCAATAACAGCTTTCTGAAACACACTGGGTATAATAGGATAACAGGCAAACCTGATGCAGCAGCCACTTCAATGACATTCTAGTTCCTATTACAGTCTATGCAGTGCATGTGGCACTATGAGTCAGGTTTACACTGAAGAAGTGCTTTAAGTTCTGCTTATAAGCAGCTTAATGTAGCACATAGTCGAATTCAGCTCTATAGTCTATTAATCCCCATGTCACCTCAGGGCTTGGCTCTGTTTATACACTGCGTCTGTAGAATACTTTATTTATTCATTCCTTTCCTTTCCCTGTCTCAGTCTCACACACCCTTCCCTATGCAAGATAAGTGATCTAGGAGTAAAGAAAGATTAAACTGAACAGTAATGCAAACCAACTGCATTTATCTCATTTTCAGTGGATTTGCAGAGGGTAGAAGGGTGTTATTTGTGTGTGTATCTGTGTTGATGTTTGTTGCTATAGTTGCAAAGTTAATGGCTAAAGCACTTCTTTAAAAAAATGACAACTTTGCTATAGTGGCAATAAAAACAAAGGAATGCCCCACTCCCCTGCCAAACACAGGATAGGGGAAGGAAGTTAATGTATTGTTCAGTAACCAGTTTTATCAATAAAACACAGAGATATGGTTTCTGAGTTTCTGCGAGACAGAGCAATAAAATTGCAATTCACAAGCTGTACTTCATTTCCAGTGTCTGGGAAAAAGCAAGTGCCAGACATTCATTTAACAGCTTATATCTCCATGTCACATGTTCCAGGAGCTGTTTTAGGAAACATATCTGCTTAGGTGCCTTGAAGTTCGTGAAACAGGAAGGAAACAAGACAGGGTGAACTCTTCCTTTGAGGGACTGGTATCCTGTCTTTGAGAAACACACAAAATGAACATTAATTGACTAACTATCGTTAGTTGAACATTAATTAAGTTCAACTTTAACCTGGGATACAAAAAATTCTCGTTACAACTACTGAGTATAACAGGCACTACCATTTTTTCCAGACAGGGTAAAAGAGAATTTAAACATGTCCTAACTGTAGTTTTTTTTGTAACTTAGTGTCTTTAACACATGTCTAACATAAGAAATTAAAGTTGTTGTGAAAAGCTATTGCTGTTTTTCAAATATACTGTATGCTCTTTAATCTAGTTGTTAAAGAAACATTTTAAAAGATACCAAAATTACAAATTTGCAGGCCTCTATAATTCAGATTCAGAAGAGACAAGATGGAGAACACTGTACTCTGTCAGTAATTATGAAAAATAATCTAGACAATTATTCAAATACTGGACCACTACTGTGCTCTTTGCAAAATGTCTCCTTGAGATGAAACTGGCCTAAAGTATTTTAGAAATAAAAGTGAGGACATATTCTCAAGCATTTCAATTTAAAGATCTCTAGGTTAGGTTCTCTGATTATCTTCAGACAAATCTTTTTCTGAGAATGCATTTAAAGATCAATGTATGCACTGAAGACTGGTGTTGTTACATCATGTATTATAGCCAACATGTGAGCTAACCTAGCTTTCATGAAGATCAATGCATGCATCACTTAGTGTTAATAACTGGACCGTTAATAACAGAAGCATTCTTGAATCTGATGGGAAAGGCAAACACAGAGACCGTCACCCTGAAGCAATGTGACAGAGCTGAACAAGGGGCTTAACCATCTTCTTACCACCTAAAACAAACTAAACACACTACCACTACTGCCAAGACAAAATACCACCATCAAAAATAAACAAATAAAAAGACAAATAGAGAAATAAATTACATCTGATATAAGCTAAATATTGCTGGAGTACAGAAGAATATTTTTCTCAGAAGATGTGACAGTGTGGACTGTTTCATTTGATTACACTCGAAGAAATGACAGAGAGATAGAAAATAGTACATCGTTGCTGAAGGCATTCTTTCAGATCTTCCATACATCCTTATTTTTCAGGTTGACTTACTGTTTTCAGACAGCTCCACAACATAGTACAGGAGGGGACTGTTTCCATCAAAAGGGCGGACCCAGAAGAGATCCACTGTGCGGCTGTCAGAGGCATTCAAACTGGCCTGCAGATTACGAGGGGAGTGGGGCAGTTCACTGGAAAAAAACAAAAGACCAGACAAAAACATGAAGCCCAGTTTGCCTCTGAACAACCAGGGCTGGCCTCTCACCAGCAATACCACATGCAAGGACCAATCTGGCTGAGAGGATCCACCGATTCTGAATCTAAGGAGCAATAGTTTAGCTAGTTAAGAGAGAATCAGCAATGTTTCACATTTGTATTAGTCAGTAAATAAATGCATATACAAATAAATAAAGATTTTGCCACACATTAACTATATTTAAAGCTTTTGTAATGTAAAACCTTAAGTTAATTTAACCTGCGCTGTACCTGGATCATGTTTAAATATTCAAGCTTATAATGGAGAGAAAAAATGTTAAGTAGATTTATTGTGCTCTCAACAGCTGCTGAGAGCTCTCGTTTTTTTCTTTTTTATGCAAATAAGGAATTTAAACATGTACTCGCTGAACTCTCAGCACTGCAGTTAACAAATTTCAGATCTGTAAAGCTATATGAGATTATCTGTAATTGCAAGTACCTGTAGTAAAATTATTTGTTGATATATAAAACCTGATTGAGAATAACAAAGGTAAATTGATTTTTGTATCAGTTCAGCACAAATTCCATTTAAAGGACAGCACCCATAATTAACAAGTTAATATCTGAATAAAGTACTCCCTTTCCTAAGTTTACTGTAAATATTCAAAGTATTTCTACTTTGACAGAAAACAAACCTTTAATTTGACATGTAGAATTTCATCCAACTATAAACATTCATAGCCAACCTACAATATGCTTAATGGTTGATCTCTACTTTTTTAATAAGAATATAAAACATCTTATTTCTAGGAACACAATATTTCTCTTTCTTTTCAAACTAATGATGATTTTCCTATTAAATTCATATAAAGTTCTGACTCACTGTATAAATATAAGTTTTTATTAAATTCCTACTTGTCTAAGCAAAGCCTTACTCCTTAAAAATAAAGTTTAATTAAAAAATATGCGCTCCAATAGTAATTATTAATTTACGAAGCTGCTCTGTGAATATGACAGGAATGTTTTATTAAAATGCAGAGATGTTCCTGAGAAGTAAAGACTTTTCTTTTTAATGTGCCCTGGTTTGATTAAGCATTATGGTTACGGGGCTGATATTTTTGTGAATTACTTATCAGCCAAGCTGGACAGGTATAGTGTAACAATTCTAGCGACCACTGTGAGGACCTGCAGGGCTCAACAGTAGCTATAGAACAACTGGTATCCCTCTGAGAGCCATCAATACAATTGCTACATTTGTGGGGACTCCTCGAGAAAAAAATATCTACCCCTCAAGTTGATTTTTCAGTAATCCTTCCAGAACTGAACAGCAGAGCTGCAGAAAGTTATATTGTTTATGCAGAGAACACAATATACCAGAAACTCATTATATATAAAATTAAATCCCTTAACTTAGTATTATAATGTACATCTATTTCAAGGCACATGCAGTGCCTTGCAAAAGTATTCAGACCCTTGCACAATCTTCACATTTTTGCTATAAAGCTTGCAGTCTTGATAATTTAAAACAGCAACTGATATTTGTTATATACACACCCTAATCCACATGTTCAAAGCAAAAACAAAAGAAACGGAGGATATGAAAGAAAAATAGAAAAGTCCCAATTGCATTAGTATTAAAAATGACCTTAATGAGCCATACAACTACAGTAGGTGAGTAACCTCTAGTTGACCCCTATGTGCACTCATGGTTCTCATGATTTCAGAATAAAAAAAAATAAGGTTGCTTGATAATATAGAGAATTTCAAGAAAATATTCAACCATGAAGACTAAGAAGTTTTCAAAGCAAGTCAGGGATAAAGTGGCTGAAAGTACAGATCAGGAAAAGAGCACAAAAAATATCACAGACTCCCTGTGAGCTCAATCATCAAGAAATGGAAGGTGCATTATAACACAGAGACATTGCTTAGATCAGCAATGAGCTGGTAGGAAAGGTGGAAACTGGCAACTAAACCAATGGCAACTTTAGAAAGAGCTACAGAGTTCAATGGATGACTTAGGGAGAACACTTCACAAAGCTGGCCTCTAAAGCCAGAGTGGAATACCCATCTCGTATTGGACCTGGAGTTTTCAACAAAACACCTGAGTAATCTGCAAAAAATTGCCAAAGGTTATTGTTATTTTGCAAGTTTTTGGTCTAAGTGCCAAACAGTATGTTTGGTGCAGACTCAACTCCAGACCCAAGAGCAGTACATCTACTTGTCAACATCATCATGATAGTCAAGAGTGAAAGTCCTTAATAAAAGATCACTTTATTGGCCATATACAATTTCTTGTATTAGGAATTTGTCTTTTTGCATACCCCAACTTGCTCTCCATGAGACACACAGACAGGCTTGGGGGCAGAGCACAGGGTCAGCCATTTATACGTTGACGTTAAGGGCCTTGCTCAGGGGCCCAACGGTGTAGAATTCCTCTCCCCGCCAGATTCAAACCGGCAACCTTCCAGCCACAGGCACAGATCCTGAGCCACAGAGCCACCACACCACCCAGCCCAGCCAAAGTCCTGATTTGAATCCTATTGAGAATCTGTGGAATATCTCCCATGCAACTTGAGAAAACCTGGGCAAATCTTCTCAGATGAATTAGTATAAATTGCACCAAGCTGGTGTGAGTTCAAGGAAGTTAGTTAAGACTTATCCATTTGCTTCCACCAAATATTGAGTTCAACGATCTGAATATTTATGCAGTCAACATATTACAGTTTTTTTCTTTATTGCTTCTGACATTTCATGCAACCTATCTTACCATAGAAGTCTTTAATTCAAACATTTAGCTTTTGAATGATATATTAAGTTAAACAAATATGTATCATTTCATTATTTCATAAAACAGGATAACAAGGGTCTGAATACTTTTGTTAGACACTGCATGTCACATTCTGATAGAAAGGGTGTGCTGTAGTTCGAAGTGGTTTTGTTTGCCATCGTCTTGGCTAATATATGATGGCAAACCATTAGCAGGAATTCAGGGACGCGGGTATTTGTGAGTGAGACGTTACTCTGGCCAAACAGGACCGTCTGCAAAAGTTAGTGATCGGGAAAGTTAGTGAAGTTCTGGTATTTAATGAATAAGGAATAATATGAAGATTAACGAAGACTGAGAATTGGGCAACAAACAGTAAATCTCCTATTAAGCGAAGACCAGCTGATGGAAGAGGACCTTGCAGTCTTCCTTAAGAGAGCACCAATGGATCAAAACTAGGATCCTGGACGGGGTCCAAATAAACATGACAGACCATTTAAATTGTGACAAAATGTCTCCTTGGTAGAATCTTATTTGCAGAAAACAAAGAAACAACTTAGACATAGCCTTTATCTTCTTTAACAACACATGTATGTAAAATAATAGAAATTACACTGTATATGCAAAAATACAATGCTATTGTGTCAAAATAAGCAGGCAGGTGGATGCCCAGGACTTGGGTGACATTCAAGTGGAATTATACAATGCAATAATGCAAAGACATTATTATCTGTCACTGATGTTTCCATTGCAGGATCCAGTTGAACAACATAATAACAGAAGGAATGAAGAAAAAAACATGTCTTTTAAATCAAAGAGTGAGCCAGTAGTAGAGACTAATTTTATAATCATCTCAGGATTCTGTTCTGCTCCTTAAGGGGGACAGGAACATAAGAAAGGCTGAAAACCTATTGCTATCATATTACCATTGACAGTGACCCCCCCCTTGACGGAGCAAAAGTGCACTCTCTGTCTCTACCCTCCTGAATTTGCTAGTCGGGGACAGAAATTACTGAGCAGTCTGTGGATATAACCTCTGATCCCACGCTACTTTGAAGCAACATCTTCCTATGACAGTTAATAGAGTCTTTTAATGCTACTTCTGAGAATTTTCCAGTTCAATATACGATAATTAGCAAGTCACTGCTACCTCAAAATGAGATTCACTTAACTATTACAAATGAAAAAAGGAAACTGCAGACGTACAAAGAAATATAGTAAACACCGATACTTTGTTTTAAAAAAGGAGCAGTTCAGTCTAGCACAAGGCCGTTCAGCTTGTTGTGTTTTACAATCCACTCCTGGGTAAGATCTCAAAATAGCTAGCATCCTAATCATTACACTGGTCCTGGTAATTGTAGAATCAACTAATTAAGAAGCTGGTTGTAGTAACATTCTGCAATGGAGTATAATGCAGGTGCTGTATTTTCGAGCGAACCTGATGTAGTGGGTTGCCATGTTTCAATTAATTAAAGCACACACAGTAAAAACCTTCTAACATAAGATAAGCATTTCAAAACTGAAATACTCACATAACCTCCAGACGAGCTGATTTTGAGTCATTGCCAGCCTGAGACAGCACCTCACATGTGTAGTCTCCGATGTCCCCTGACCAAGTCTGGCTGATCTGGAGAGACCCCTCCTTCACACTGATCCTGCCACCCTTTGTGCTGCTGAGAACTGTTCCATCCTTTTTCCACACAAACCTATGGATCAATCAGTCAATCAAGGTATATTTATCAAATGCACAACAATACAGCATATAGCAGTGGTTGTCGGCAATTAAATACTCTTCCGCAAGCTCACAAGGAGAGATAGGACAGAAGTTGATAGAATTAAGCTTACAGAGTTGAATACAATAAATTATATTGTAAATTTACAAGATTTACGCAATTAATAACATAAGGAGATATGGTAGGGATATGAGGTGTCAGGGTAAAAAAAACGCAGGTGCCCCTTTCAGTTTCAAGTGGACTGACTATATATCAGTGGTCGTTTGGGTAATTGCTGATGGCTGCCGTGGTTGGCTGTTTTGCAGACTTATTGCCTGAGAGAAAAAGCTGTTTTGAAATCTGTTCGGTCTTTGTATGCTTCGGTATCGTTTTCCAGACGGTAGTAGAGAAAACAGATTATGGTTGGGGTGACCAGGGTCCTTGAGAATAGACCTGGCCTTCTTGAGGCATCTAACAGAGTAGATATCCTCTATGTTCAGTAGCACGCAGCCGGTGATGTGCTGTGATGATTTCACCACCCTCTGCAATGCTTTGCGCTCAAGGATGGAGCAGCTCCCATACCAGGCAGTGATGCAGCCAGTCAGGATACTCTCAATAGTGCACCTGTAGAAGTTAGCCAGGATATGTGACGGCATGCTGAACTTCTTAAGTCTGTGAAGAAAGAATGGGCGCTACGGTGCTGTCTTGGCTACGCAGCTGGTGTGGTAGAACAAGGTTAGGTCTTCTGTGATGTTAACACCTAGGAATTTAAAAACGTTGACCCTTTCCACTGCACTCCCACTGATGTAAATGGGTGCGTGGTCTGCTCTTTAATGTTTTCTGTGAAACACATTTCTAAATGAAGCCCCATAAATTAAGTACTACAGTCATGAGGGTTGTTCAAAGGAATTAAAAGTGTTTTAGTAAGTGACACATAATGATCAGTTATGGATATGGATTTTTTTAATGGGCTCTATCTGTAAGCAAGTGTTAACAGCTTTTGTAAAAAATGAAACACATACAAACAATGAATAAAAATAGTAAGCATATAAAATGGTCACAGCTGATTGTGTCGAGATGTAGACAGACATACTGCTAATATCTTTAAAGGGCATATCATTTTCTTTCACCTGACAGACACTCTAGGGTCATAGGTTGCATGGCACTCCAGCACTGCGGTTGTTCCTTTGATGACACGCCTATCCTCAGGAGGCTTGGATATGGAGGTGCGGCCTGGCAGAAACAAACACATTAGACAAAACAGAAGCAATTCCCTGACACGCCATGCAAAAAAGAAAAAAGAGCTATGTGACTAGATAGAAGGGAATTAATTTGGACAGGAATACTTTAGAACACTGCTTCTTCTTCTTTCTTATGTGTTACAAGTCATTGAATAAGAGGGCAAATTTTTTTCTCAAGAAACATAATCACAGTGTAAAAAACAGACATATCATGAAGGAAAGACTAAAAGAATAACTTTGCCAATTGGATGGTTAAATTGCTGTTTTTTACATCATATTTATTCAGCAAATGATCAGAAACTTTCATTTAATTAAGTGAAAGACTTAGTCTTGGAAAGAAAGACTTGGTAGGCCTCTATTGTCTTAACAGGAAAAATATTGCACGTGCATCCTTACTCCACACAATCATTGAGGCTGTTGCATTGATGGCTCCCTCGGAGTTTGTGGAGTAGCAGGTGTAGTTCCCCGAGTCCTGGAGGAAGACAGGGCTCACCTGCAGCCCCCCAGACTCCAGAAGTGTGAATCGGGGTATCTGGACAGAACCACTTGCCAAAATCTGACCACCTGTAATACATAAAGGGATAGGAGTCAGATTCATACAGGGCTGGGAAACTATGTTAAAATCCAGCATTTCTGAATGATTGTAATACTGACCGAGAGACCCATTCACAAGGGAAGTCCCTTTGAAAAGGCAAATTAATGCTACCTGACTCAGAATGGCTAAATAATATCTTATTTTATCAATTTGCAAATTACCTTTTTTTCTAGTTGCAAAAGCTTTTTACATTTGATGGTTAATGAATACAGCAAATATTGCGAGACAATAATTACTTTTCTAACAGAAGATAATAATTTCAGTAACCCTGCAGTGGCAGCAAAGATATATATATATATAATGGCTAGTTGCAGTGGCATAGAAAATAGCTCTGCATTTCACGTATCAGTAGGTTGTAATAATGAAGATAATGGTACCTGAAGAGAAAAACCTTTACTTCCTTAGTTATGTTTTGGTCGTATCTACATCCTGATAACATGTAACTAGGCAACATTACACTAAAAGCGTAAACACTGTTTAGGCAGTGATTTAAATGAGGTAGACAGTTATAAGCAGCGGTTAATTCCAAACTAAAAACCAAAAAAAAAAAACATATACACCTAAAAGAAGGCTCTCTAGCCAAAATGCTGCTTTTGTCTCTTTCTTTTGACTTTTGTCCAGTAGCTTTCCCTTGCAATATGTAGCTAATATGCATTAATTATTGAATTAAACACAGTATTAAAGGGCCATCCACTATTGTTTAGGCACAAAATCAGGTTCCTATTAAAATATACAAAATAATAATTAAAATATAAGCTGTTTTTGTATGCCAGTTACAATTATAGTAAACACTCTGTCTTATTAGGTTAAATAAATCATTCTTAATATGTCAAAATAAATTGAAAAAGATTCCCTTAAGACATATACAAAATAACCATGAAAATAATTTATTTCTGCATTTCTCAATGGAACTGATGGTAGATTATAGATGGTAGATGGTAGATTATCATAGCTTTGATCCTTAAAATGTCTGCTTGGGAAGGAACATACTGTAGGTAAGTTCTGCATTTGTCCATCTACTTGATACATAAACTCTTCTGCAGTGCTGTTGATAAAACGGTTGCCTTGTTGCCTATGTTTCAGTCCCTTAAGATAAGATAGGAATGATGCATGCATTTTAGACCCTCAGTTTGACAAAAAAAATAATTTGGTGATTTTCAACAATTCACCTCCTCAGGATGCCAAAGGCTGCACTTTTAAAGTGATGGGTTTAAAGTGATGTTGTGAGTTTTTGTCAATGTCAGCATTCCATGAAAGATAACTGCACAATGACACAAATGAATCTGAATCAACAGGGCCATAATATTTGCATTTAGAGCTTGATTCTGGAGTTTAATCTTGTATTAGTTTAATTCTCATCTTTTCGTAAAAAAATATTTACCCTAGTACAAATGTTGACCATTGACTGCAGATCATTTCTATAAATAATAATACTGCAGTATCATCAACATGCTGGGGCATGTTTAGTTTAGAAGAGGAGTCGCTAAAGATTAAATTACCGTCCACTAGTGAGTTAGGTACCCTACAACAGTGAATTTATTTGCAATCCAATGGAACATGGGACATGTTGTGAAATATAATATAGCTCTGGTGATGACACACCTTTTTATTAATCCTGTTCAGACTTCAAAGGGCTCTATACTGAATCCTTGCTGAAGATTGCTCCATACATATCATGATGAAACAAGCATAGCATGTGGAAGATATTTTAGGACATCCATGGAGCAGCTGTATCTTTTAAAATTCATGATTCATGATTCATAGACTCAAATGTCTTTTAAACAATCCATGCAATGTAGTGGGGTACGTTTTGCTCCCAGTATTTTTCCTGCAATTAATGGGTTAAAAAATAATAACAGACATGCCTCCTCAACCACACTAGGATTCTGAGACAGTTTAGTTTATTTTGTAGTGATCTTGCCTGTGATGGAGAGCAAAGGGATAACACTGCAATTTCCACAGCTGGAGTTGTCACCTTTCCTGAAAAATGTAACAATCACCCTTGATATTTAGAATTACCTTTTCATTTTCGATATGTATGATGAGGCATGGAGGTATAGTGTTAGTTCCTGTCCACCATGCTGAAAAAAACCTGAAAAAATTCCTTCACCCCCTGCTGCTTTGTTGCTTTTCATTTATATGAGAGGTTTTATCACCTCATTAGGTGTTGGCAGAGTTCCTAGTGTGTCTCTAATTAGGTTTTGTGGGATGGAATCAAATATACTATTGTTGACAGTGGATTCTTGATTGGCCTCCGTGCCAGATCATGACTGGAGGCTCATCACTCACTAATGTGCTCTCGCTACTATTATTTGATCACCAAAGAACTTTGAAAATGTACTGGAGATGGAAGACTTCTGTTACAAATATCTTTTATTTTGTAGAAACAGTTTCACACCAGTTTCCACACATATCTTGACAGAAAGCAACCTTGATCCAATGTTAAGGAGACCAAGACAATTAGAGGTCTCATTCTAATGCAGCCTTTATCTTTCAAACAGTATTACATATTCCAGGTGGTACATTTCCATCCAGCTATTCTGTCACTAAAGACAAGGCTTAATAACCTAACCTTTGGTTGTGATCTCAAACTGACATCTTGCTAATTGTATCAATTTGAAGGGCCCACACAGTAAAAGATCACTGATAATAAGTAATAAAATTTTTTTTAAGATTTACTTTTTTTCCAAGTGATGGCAGGTTTTGGTGCTCCATTAACCTCACAAGCAAAGATGGCCAGAGTCCCATCAGTAACTGTGATATCCATAGGGGCCCGAGTGAAGACTGGTGCCATACCTGCAAAATTCAATTAGACGTTTTAACTTGAAGTCCCACTATCCAATATGAAGGCATTTGAAAACAGCAATGAGCTGACAATCTGCCACCAAGCAATAGGTAATGAACAAAAATGAATTTCTCCTGCTGTCAAGACACTGCCATACCTTTCAGTGTCTGCCCAGTTCTGCACGGCCTGCCTGCTATGACAGGAATTTGTCTCACAAAACCCATCATAAATACTACCTTATGTATTTTTTTGTCTGTGTCCAAAAACATTTTGATTTTTCAACTGATTTTTATTAATATGATATAGCATCAGTGTAAACAAGACAGACAGGTAAAATAAAGGAACTCTGTTTATAGAGCTTGAGGTTTATGCTGTGTTTCTGTCAGGAACCTGATGGCTGGGGACAACACTGTTTATATTTGATTTGATATAAAAAGTTATAAATTTCACTGTTGAAACCTTGTCATGATAAGAACATCATAAGGCTCTCAATTGAAAAAAAAAACAACAAAACTGTATTACTATTCTATTTCCACCTGCAGCTCCAACACAGGTCTATATAGTTAGCAATCCTAACTTTAAAATACAGATCAGAAAGTATTATTGTTCAAACTGTAGTAGTTACTGATGGAATTCTTAAAAAAATGATGCAAACTGAATATTATAAAGGCAACTATAGGTGTTCAATTAATTTACAATTGTTTGGCAGACAATTTAATCCAAAGCAATTTACAATTGTGCTAATACTATGTATACTGGAGGGCATTTTAGTGGAGTAATTCGAGTGAAATACCTTTCTCAGCGGTAAAACACAGTGTCACCACCTGGATCTTTTCTGTTAATATAATCAAGAGCTAAAATATAATCTTTGCTAATTTCACTTAAATTACAAAATGCTGTTTGTTGAGTAGGATATCTTAATCTGAGAAATGCATCAGAATCACTAACATTTTAACTGAGATCCACAACTGCAATTTAATCAATTCAGTGTCACTCACACTTCAACAATCATGAACAACTTTCAATTCAGAAAACATTTCAGACAAGTTTAACTGCTCAACTAGTTGGCCTTTCATTAAGGAAAATAACACTTTTGTTGAAATACTTTTGATTTAAAATGAAAGTGCTGGTCAATCGATACAATTAAGTTAAAGATCAAAGAATGGCACACAATTGCACAATTAATGCGAATAAAGCTGAAAACTAATTCTCCGCTTGTAGACATTAAAAAGTTTATACTGTCTATGTTAGATTTATTATAAACTGTGCACATAAGCTATTTAGAAACAAGAAGTGTAGATATGCTTTTTACACTGGATAGGAAGCTAATTAAAGGGAGAGGATTTATGCCTTAGCTTCCTAAATGTTTATTTCTCATTGAAATCAATCTAAGCTCTAAAACGATGACCTGGGGGAATGATTGACATCCCTTTATTTCTTTTCTATATTATTATTACTACAGTCAACAAAGTCAAAATGTACAATCAACTCATCTCCAGAGAACACAATTCAAAGCAAACCAAACACAGTTTCTAAAAGATCCTTTGTGTACTTAAATAATCACCATCATCAAAGGTTTGTTTTGTTTTTGTAGGTGAATTAAGAAGCATACAGCTCCCTGAATAACATCTTTACATGAAAGAGCAAAGATAGTTACTATCAAAAGAGATCAAACTAAGTTTCTTTTACAATAGATGTACAAGAAAATACAGGGGTAAGCACAAAGTGTTTGCTGGAGTTTTATAAGACACTTTTCTTGTTTCATGTACCCAGCAAATCTACTTTTCCTACTCCTAACGAGAAAGCCCTCGAGTTGCACACATAATCAAAGCCGTCACCAAACCCAGAAATCTTCACCAATTACACCAAGAAAAAGAAAAAGCTGCAGAGAAGCTTCAAGCTACTCTATAATCTGAATTGTTAACTACACTAAAGAAGTAATGTATACACTAATTATGCAGAAATGAAAAATAAGCTGTTCTGTATAACAATGTGGAAGCTTGTCAGTATGTTTTATATTGCAAATACAGTGTAATTTAGCTAGCAATTTAGAGATTAACATGTTTTTAATATCACCCATTTTGAAAAAGAAGAACACTGACCTAACTTACAAAGGAATAGGATTTATAATTTAAACATTTAATTTTATGCCGAGCATGAGCTCTTGTGTGGGGAATCGGCTGTGAACTACTAGTATACTGAAGACCCTCATAAAGAGCTACAGAGCACTGCAGGTGTTCTTAGTTCTCCGTTTGTAGACATTATAAAGTTTATACAGTCTATGTTAGATTTATTATAAACTGTGCACATAAGCTGTTGAGAAACATGAGGTGACTCATTGCATTGTGTACTTCAAACGGGAAGGACAAAACCGGACGTTATATTTTAAATGAATTCCAAGTTCCTAGATCTTTAAACTTACTTGTAACATCAAGGTAGGCATGTGTTTGGATTTCTCCAGCTGAGTTCCTGGCAAAGCACTGGAAGATTCCAGAATCATCTGGTTGAACCCTTCTGACTTGAAGGCCCATATTAGATACCACCTTGTATCGAGGGTTATTCAGTTTATTGAGAGGCACAGAGTCTTTGTACCACTCCAGTCTGGGCATTGGAACACCTGTGAAAGGATAAAGGGGAGTCCCACAGTTTAATCAATTGAAGTACTGAGTTTCTCATTAAAAAAAAAAAAAACAATTTACTGGCTTTTAAAGTAAAACAAAAAACTAAAAATGCATTAAAAATCTTTTTTTTTTCTGAGGGGCTGATACTGTTTTAACCTTTTGTGATGTTCTTCTCGGTGCAATATTTTTTATTTACTAATAAGCTAGTGTTAGGACATTGAGTCACAAATACATTATTTAGAAATTACAACAACCTCGTACGGCCTATTAATGCTTCGTATTACTACTTAAAAAACACAAGTTAAATGACAGCCTTGTAACAAATGTTTCCCTGTATTTCTTTTCACAGCTTTTAAGACATAATTGATAGTAACAGAACATTACTGCAACATCTAATTTCAAGATCTTTTTCTTCACAAATTCCATTTCTCATTTTACAACTACATTCATCCCGACATTTAACTCTCTGGACCCTTTAAAAAACTGCAGTCCCCATGACAACTTTCTTAATCTTAAATCTTGCCATATTATGTTTCTTATATTGTATTGATTTTAAATGGTAGAATAGCTCTTTGACATCCGTTTCCTTTTTCTAAATGTATACCTTTTAATAAATTGAATTGGTATGTTAAGCAAAGAAAAGAATCTCCAGGGTGCATGATTGTCAGGGTATGATAGAGTTTTACAACCTTATATAAAAGAATGTGTTCACCTGAAGAATCTTTACCCCTTGAAATGTCTGTTAAATGTCCTTTTTCAAAAGACACAAATAATGGCAGGAAATTTGATTCTTCTATACAAACTCAAAGCATAACATCCATATTTAGAACACTAGTGGCATTTTGAAAGCAAAAACACATTTAAACACAAAAACCCCTAAGCTGATGAAGCACTAACCATTGACAATTGTCTTCTCACTGTAGATGAATATAACTTTAAAATGCGTGTTCAATCAACCAGCAACAAACAACCGTCATTTCCATCTTACTCATAATAATAAAATAAATGTTGCAAAAACAAAGTTGTTTAAATGTGTTTAATTTATTTCTCACATTTGAATAGTACTTTTTATTTTTATAGCATAGGAAGGGACCCTCTTCATCTATCACTGAAGTACAGCACCAGGCAAAGAAGTGAAAGGAGGGAGGCCAGACTGTATAAGCGCAGAATTTAATTTAGCCATCGAGACATCATGGTTAACACCCCTTCTCTTATGAACAGTGCCATGGGATCCTTAATGACTAAGAAGTCAGGACCTCCATTTAATGTCTTATCTTAAGGGCAGAACCTCCCACAGCATAAAGCCTCTGGTCACTGCTATGTGCCACTGTTTAAGAAATTGTGGTCCAGAGGGAAGACTGCTACCTATGGGTTCACCAACACCAGCAGCAAACTGGTTATCGCTAGAGGTCTCCCATCCCAGCACTGACCAGGCCCAGCTTTACATGTGACTGAGATCTAAGAAAATCAGACAACAAGGTGGTAAAAGAGTCAGATTCTACCAGTACTGTACCATTAGACCAAAAAAATACACATAACATCCTATAAAGTTTTGAAAAGGCCAGGTGAGAGAACTAAGGGGAAGAATTCCAATTCAATCCGTTATCACAGCAGTGAAGTTTCAAAATAGAAATCAGCTCCTAAAGTTTGTATCATGGTTCCAATAGGAAATCAGCTAAGAAATTCTACAATCCTACCTAACTGACAGAATGTCCTTACCTTATTTAATCAACAAAGCAAAATACTGACAAATGTATATGTGGAGATTCACTACATTTTTGTGTAGCATACTTCTTTGCTGGCTATGGGTGAATGTATTTATTTATTAGTGGTAATTTCACATTTTTTACATTAATTTTTTACATGAATCATTGACATTTGTCAAATTTTAAAAACTTTATTATATATATATATTATATCAGCCAGCAGCCATATCATGCAGCTCACAACTAGCCCCACACTGAAGCTCAGCAGGTGTAAGCCTGATTAGAACCTGGTTGGGAGACCTCCTGGGAAAAACTAAGGTTGCTGTTGGAAGAGGTGTTAGTTGGGCCAGCAGGGGGTGCTTACCCTGCAGTCCATGTGGGTCCTAATGTCCCTGTATAGTGATGGGGACACTATACTGTAAACAGGCGCCATCCTTCGGATGAGACGTAAAACTGAGGTCTCATCCTCTGAGGTCATTAAAAATCCCAGGGTATCTCTAGAAAAAGAAGGTGTGTAACCCTGGTGCCCTGACCAAATTTCCCATTGGCCCTTACCAATCATGTCCTCCTAATAATCCCCATCTATGAATTGGCTTCCTTACTCTGCTCTCCTCCCCACTAATAGCTGATGTGTGGAGAGCGTTCTGGCGCACTATGGCTGCCATCGCATCACCCAGGTGGATGCTGCACATTTGTGGTGGTGGAGGGGAGTCCCCATTACATGTAAAGCGCTTTCAGTGGAGTGTCCAGAAAAGCACTATATAAGTGTAAGCAATTATTATTATGATTATTATAAAGCCTCTTTAAAGGTGGCTTCTCAAAGAGCTTTACAGAATGACAACAACAATAAATAAAAAGAATACACAAGATAAATCACAATTACAATATACAGAGGAGACCGTGGATGGTGGTACTAAGTATAGTAGGAGCAGAGATGTAAAGAATGGAACCAGTTAAGTACAGGCTCTTCAAAGAAGAAGGTTTTGAGTCTGGATTTGAAGGAGTTTAGAGAAGTGACTGAGAGAGTTCCAGAGCTCTGGGGCATAACAGGAGAAGGCCCTGTCACCCATAGAACAAAAACGGGCTTGGGGAACAGTTAGGAGACCAGAATTTTAAGAGTGAAGGTTGTGAGGTGGGGAGTAGGTTTTTCAGATTTTATTTTAATGAAGCATCATTTTTTGAGAACATTGAAACTTTTTCATCTAGAATATTTAAGCTTTGTTAATACAGTACAGAGAAAAATACTAATGACATTGCTTTCAGCTCAAAAATGACAGGTAAGAAAAAAAACAGAATATAAACACCACCTAGAGCCTATAATAGATAAATTATTTCTAATTAATTAAATTAGATAAATTCAATTACATAGTCTTTATGGTCATACTAATGTGTCCTTTGAATAAAATTAGCGAATCCATTAAAAACTCTAATTATTACAAAAAAACATTTCTTTTTCCATTTTCAACCCAAATATAATGTAAAAATGTATTTCAAAACACCATAATTTGATTCATATTTGGTGTAACATAATGCTGTAATAATTAAGCTGGTTTGTTACAGCTATAATATATTATTTCATATTTTTAAACGTGTGGGTATGTACAGTACAGAGGGAGATTGGTCTTCCTGTGTACTGTATGGACTGTACAGTACATTGGCCCTTAGACAAAGCCCTGAGGAACCTCACTTCACTGTACGCTTTAAAAGGATTGATTATTATTGAAATTGACAGTTTATTATTCAGTGATTATTATTATGTTTCAAGTCTTATTAATTAAATTTCATTTAAATAGGACAAAAAAGTGATAATCTAAGAGACTCTAAAGACAGTGTTTCTATTAAACTGAAATTCACCTCTATCTAGTTGAGAATTTATTCTTTTCAAGAAAGCTTTGATATGACTCTGAGCTGCAGTTAATGTCTATCTTTTAAATGTGCAGTTCTGCTATTAAGTTAGCAATGCTAAAGCATTCATAAGAAGGGCAATACTGGTCAGTGAGCTTTCAGATATGATGTACAATATTCTTTTCTTGAGATAGAATGGATATCTAATGGAACTTATAATTACAGACTTAAAATAAAGTCTGTGCTTTATGTATGCAATAGGTTTTCTTATCAAAGACTATTAACACAGTCTATTGACATTTTTGTCTTGACATTTTGGAGAAAGATTTGTCATTCATTTTTATGAATGTAGAACATAATCTCAGGAACCTGTGGAGAGACACTCCTGCACTATTGTATGAATCTCCCTATCTTGGAGAACAGTAAAAGGTTTTCATGCTATCTTGAAGTAATGTGACAGAAATTCAGCACAGAGACCTGACATGTATCACAAGAAGAGAACAGCAATTTTATTTAAATGTGTTCACATTATGTATACAAGAACTACATAACAAATATCAAGGGATGCTAAATAGAAAGCTTTTGAGATTCTAAGCCTTTGAAATTTAATTAACTAGTTTCAATGTTCGATTAAAAATTAAACAAATACAGTATATTGTTCTTAAAATGTGAATATACAAAGCTGATGTATAATATACAGTGCCTATTGAAAGTCTACACCCCCTTTCAAAATGTTCATCTTTTTTGCTTTATAGCCTGGAAATATAAAATGCATTAAATTAATTTTTGTATAAATCCACAGACTGTTTTCTACTCCACAGCTTCTAAGTGGAAAAAAAAATTAGACGTGTTTAGGATATTAATAAAAAATAAAACTGAAATAGCTGGGTTGGATAAATGTCTCTCCCCCCCCCTTTTGTAACAGCAGTCCTAAATTAGCTCAGGTGTAACCAATCACCTTCAAACTCACACCAAGTTAATTGGCCTCCACCTGTGTTAAACTCTAGTGATTCACATGATTTCAGGATAAATTCAACAGTCCCTATAGTTTTTCTCTGCTGGGTAGTGCATTTCAAAGCTAAGAGCACCAAGGAGTATTCAAAAGAACAGCTTTGGGACAAAGCTGTGGAAATGTTCAGACCAGGGAATGGGTATAAAAAAATAACACCTGTGGGCACAGTCAAGATGACTATTAAGAAGTGGCAGGAGTGTGGCATCACCAACACCCTGCCTAAATCCTTGTATTCCACCAAACTTTATAACTCTGACACACTGTTACTCTGTCACTCTTCATATAAAATCATCTGTCACTCTTCATATAAAATCATCACATGGTAAAGTATTTTTTTTTAAATAAACTGAAAACTTGAACTGAACATACAACATAAGCAATGTTTATATTTTTTTCATTTATAATATACAGTAAACAATATAACGTATAATAATTACATTATACTTTGTAACTCTTTTCACCCTTATAGTTATCTTGAGTGCAGGCACATCTGTTGAAGGCATCCCACACAATACACAATATCCAACAACAATTTCAGCATTTTGTAGTCTTCAAGGAGGAGGTCTTTCCCTTCTTTTTTTACACAATACAGCCACACTCAAAAATCTAACGCCTTCTGACAACATGTCATTGGAGCAAAGTATTAAGCAAGATTAAAGGTTAGGAAACCACTTACCCTGAGCTTGACACTGAATGTTGATAGTTTTCTCCACTTCTCCCATAATTTTTCTCTCAGGTTCTGCAGTGAAGTAGGGTGACTCTGTCAAAAGCAAACAGAAAGTGAAGAAAATACAGCTTTTTAATCAGGTTAAGTATCACAAGCCGTCTGTGATGTGGAACTCGATTTGGCTGGTTTGCATTAAGTTAGACCATCGCATTCAGTTTGTAAATCTTCTGAACCACTGAAAATAAATGACAAAGAGTTAGCCCTACAACCCACTGGCCCTTGAATAACATGCTGTAAACATGTAAGACTTTCTAAAACCTTAAAACAGCAGAGAACTAATTTGTAAAATGTTCTCCCAAAGCAGGACTCTTCAAACTTTACCTTGGTATGCTTTAGGTTTCTTATTTATTATTGAAGGTAGAGTTAGTGTAGTGTAAGCAATAGACTATCCTAAGTTTTTTTTAATTCTTTCTCTTTATATTAAATAGTAGCCTTGTTTTAATCTAGTTGACACTGTGTATTTGTTTTTGTAAATGGATTGTTTCCAATACATTTAATAAAGAATACAGTTGCAAAACTAAATATTTTTAAAGTGAAAGCAGTCTATTTCCCCATTTTGTATGAAAAGTTATGGATTAGAAGTGGTATGTACTGTATAAACATATTTACTATAAATACATAATATAGATTTACATTCAGACAACTTATACGAATTGCTGAAAAATCATCTTAATATTGTGTATGTCACTTCAAGCTAAGAAAGTGCAATATAATTGTTTTTTTCACATTGTGATACACAGTATAATGGGCATCAAAAAGAGGCTAGCATTTCTAACAGATTCAAATGTAAAAAGTTATTAAGAGGAAAAAAATAAACATCCAGATGTTCAATGGGGCCTGAAGTCTACGATAAGACATGCATGCTACAAATGTCACATTCTCATCTCCTAGAGAAACTGTTGTTACATGAGTAGTATGTGGACTCTTGAGCATATCAATTAGTACACCACACTCGCTGATATCCAATACAAAATGTTGACCATTACAAAAGTGGACATCACACAAATGGCAACATATTTCAGACTCCAACACACACAGGCATCAATGCATCATTTGCCTGATAAACGGGAACACTGTTTCCTTTTCTGTTTTTCTTACCTGAATTTCTCCATCTTGATATTCAACAGGTGAAATTATCCCACCACCTGTGCCCACTCAACTCTTTTACTGATGAGGCTATTTAGTGCTCTTGCAATAGTCAAAGTCACTTGATTGTATCGCCATCAGTCATGAATGATTAATAAAAATCTCAAAAACATTTAATCATTACTTAAAATCTGTTAACTTTATTTTTCTAATAACATTTCTGCATAAAAAGAGTGATAAGTTTCTCTGATGCTAATATACATAAGTGACTTTTCTTCTCCTATCACACTGGGCACAACTATGAGCTTAGTCTATAAATGAATGCTGGCTTTATAATGACTATAGAGTACATGACATAAATATTCAACATGCTGTTTAGTTCTGTACATTAATCTGCCAGGACTATATAAAGGACAACTGTTATTCTATCATGGGCGTGTCAAGATAATAAAGCCCAACAGACAGGACTGTTACCTGGCTGTTATCTCACTGCTGGTTCTCTTGTACAGATTATCTCATTTAAGTCCTCATGAGACATGATGTCCTTGAGAAGCCCAGTCAAAAGACTTGAAAACTGTCTACATCCTTTATATTTCTACAAAATAAGATATTACTATAAGAGAATTAATACATTTCAAAGGCATTGTATACACAGCTCAATGACACTGTAAGTTGGATTTGATTTTAGAATTTAGGAAGAAATAAAGTCTATTGTTCCAAACTTAATACACAATCCTATAAATAGATAGGTTCACTGATAAGAGTAAAGAAGGTCGAATACAGGACCTTGGAAAATGAATTACTTTCTACAAGCAGAACAATCCTGTAGAAACAAATAAAATGCAGGCAATTGTTGTTTGCATACACAAAGCTACATTTATTTAACTAAAACTGTGCCATGTTGAAAAAAGAATAGCTGACATGCCTAAAGCCTTAAACTTTAGGTTCCTTTTAAACTCATCTGAATCCAAAATACAAGACAACAAATGCCTGAGGTCTGAAAAAAATTTAAAAGACAAGAACAAAAACCAGAAGGGCTGGCGATTAAAACTAGTCCGATTCATTCTATGTTTAATGTCATAAAGGAAAATAACACCTTTGCAAAACACTTCTCACAAAATGACAATTTTATTAGTATAATTTTTTTCAGTGTTAGGCAATGCTATTTAAATCATTGGGCACTCTGTACATGAAGAAATGGAAACCATTAAACACATTTTTCCATGCTCTTGTTAACCATACCCTACCCAGCTTCAGGAAAAAACAAAGCTCCCCCTTTGGTGTACTCCATGGCCATGCAAAAAAGGTCACTACAAATGATTTCATTATCAACCAAATGACAAAGAGGTACAAGTTACTGTGAAGGTCAAGGTTATGCAAAGGCCAAACAAATATATTTGAAAGAAAAAAGAAGGAAAAAAAAAACATGTATAATGGCAAATCCAGACTGTAACTACAGGTTTACCTATGATGGAGAGAAACGCCTTTGACTCCACTGTCTTCACACTGCTGTCTAAAAGAGTGGCCTCACACACGTACAGGCCCACGTCTGCTGACGTAGGATTGATGATGGTCAGTCTTCTCCCAAAGGTGCCAGTACCTCCAGTTAATGTCATGCCATTGCGCTTCCAAGAAATGCTCAGCTTTTCTACAGGTCTGTGGGGAAATATGGAATAGGAGACAGTGAGATTTCAGAGACTGCAGAGCAAACCACCAAATGCAGGTCCATGAATCTGCATTTTAAATAAAGCTTTGCAAAATTGATACACAGTTTCCATGTAGCTGACCTGGTTTTTGGACGTTGAAACAATATTAATTAATATCAAAAAGGATTTCAATAGGTTACACAAGATAGGTTCACATTAGATTTTTGTTTTTCAAGCAATCTTATGCATTAGATCAGGCTGTCTTTTGCTAAGCAATTTCTCCTATAAATGGATGGAAAGAGACTGTAATGAGACCTTGCAAAAAATGACGCTGCGTCTCTCCTTTAAAATTCAATCCAGTTTAACTATTTGCCGAAATTGGTGCAGTTACTAGATCCGGTATGTTTTCCTTTTCATCAAGAAAAAATGAGAAGGGAATCTTCAAAAAGGCTGAAAACACGTCACTTATGTATAAGATTATCAGATTTTATTAAACACTCTTATGGATAAAAAAATGAGACATGAATTTTCTTGAACTATAACTTCTGTATTGCTGCCTTTGTTTTTTTAAAGTAATCCCTACTTCACTCTTTTGTAATTTTCATTTAACTCACAGTGGTTGCTCCCTTTCAGTCCCAACAGTTTTTACATTACAAAGCCTTACCATGCTCCTTAATATGCAACAGTTTTGCTCAGAAAATTTCTCAGTTGGAAGACATGATTAAACACAGTAAATTGCTTTGATGTTCAATACTAATAGGAGTGTCTGTGTTTAAGAGGGAGACCCCAGAGGGGCTGACCTTGCATTTGCCACACACTCCAGCGTCGCTTCGCTGATCCCCGCCACCACGGTGGTGTTTCGAGGTGGAATTACAATAACAGGAGCCACAGGGTCAGCTGGAGCGTCTGAGTCTGTCCAAGGAAGGATAAAAACAGCCTAATGAACCAATAGCATATACAGTAAAAGCTTTGCCATTCTGCATCCATGGGGAATAAGGAGTGCTGAAGAGCCAAATACGTTGGTTAGTCAAGAGTAAGGATGCTTTCACATTATCAATAATACTAACATTCTGCACAACCTTATATAAGCCAAAATCTAAGCAAGATGGAATGCAGTTATTGGTATGTCTGCACTTACAACTGTTATTATCATTATTATTATAGTACTGCAATAATACAAAATTACACTATTACAAAACTCATATTATTGTGCTGTACAGTTCTTTAATAATAAAGAGCACAGCAAAAATTATGTGACACAGAACTTCACATGTCTTCATCCTTAGAGTTGGTTTGCTTTTTAAAGGACTAGAGCACTTATCAGCAACGACTAAAAGCGTGACTCTGCAAACAAGGATTCCGGACATCACACAGGTAATAACAGAGATACTGTACATTGCAGGATAGCAAAGCAAGACTGAGGCTGTATGTAGAATGTCAGAAGGTTTAAATATGTCAAGATAAATCTAGAATAAAGATGAATCACTATGTCTACACTACATACAGTACTGTATATGCTATACAGATGCAGACATTCAAAGTTCGCGGCACAAACCCGTACCACACGCATCTACCCACAAACCACCATACTGTACATGATTGACTGGCCAAAATGATCGACAGGGGCACTCGTAGTCCATTGGTCGGTAGTGAAAAGATTTAATCATTTAATCTCTTTACTGTGCACATTTTAATCTCTTAGTATTGAATATTTATATGGAATTTTACCACTAAAGGGAAATTTTAGTAGCTGAGCATAAAAAGAATAGGAGCATAACGCATCAAACAGCAAGATCTCACACACTGGGACTGATCTGTGAATTGTGGTGCTCCAGCAGGTTGAAAAAATAAATAAAAACCGGTTTAACAACTCTTAAGCATACTGTAGTTTTTGTTAACACAACTTTATCAGTGAAAAGACCACAAGCATTTTTCCTCCCCTCTACATTCTCAGAGTAGAACGTAATTTATTATTATCACAATTTATT